AAAAAAAAAAAAAAAAACTTCCATTCAGTTGTTTCTAAAATGTTTCCAGTCTTGACTTTCTCATAGTTCTTATGATTCCTACTTTCTCTGTATGCCCAGTCTAATCTATTGCGATTCACTTAATAAAGTCTGATGCCATTCCAGGATCATGACTGAAAACAAAACCCAAAACTGAGTTATACGTTACAGGTTCAAATTCATAGTTAAACCACCATAAGAAAATTTATCCTAATCATCCAACATAAGTGTAGTTTAAAAGCCTGAATTATATCCATCAGACTGAATGAAACACTGAAGATTTTAAAATCAAGTCAAGTACTTTTAAATTTCATAGAGATCAGTTGTTTGAATTTCAGTGGTTGAATAGAATTATAAACACACATTGAGTAGTGCTCACTTTTACTTCTCAAGTTCAGTAACTTCAAAATATTGAAATGTGGAGATTAAAGCATGGTCAAGATAGAAAAGACAGCCTTATTCAGAAGTTGAAGGAATATAATTAATGAACAGGCAAAAAAAAAAAAATAGTTAAAATGCCCTAGTTTGTCAGTAAATGCCTGAGCATTCTGAAATACAGAGACATAAATAGGTAAAAAAACTTTTACAAGTTTAACTTATTCAAATGCATAACTTTAAACAGTTGATCCTCTAGCTAGGGAACAAGATATTTCTGAAGAGCCTCAGCTCCTGCTAACAATACTACACCCCCTGCCTTGTAGTCTAATTCTTCTAGAACATCTGCTAGAACCCCTAGTAGCGTTACATTTTGCTGTGATGAGATAAATACAAAATTATATGATCCTAGTAACATAGAATGACATTTCATTAGTGCCCTGTTGGAGAAACATTTCTTGTTTTCCCAAGTAGAATCTGCTCTGTCATTACTTGGACACAAAAATATGATTTATTGCCAGATTGATTCTTCAGAGTATATAGGGAATATCCAGTAAATATTTGTTGATGAGCTGACTGGACACTCCATACTAGTGTAAGACCTGAAATTTAGGAAGAAAAGAGCTTGACTTTTTTCTACCTCACAGTGAAAAAAATGCCTTTATCGTTTAGTAAATTGTCTTTCTGACCAACATAATTCTCTTGATCAAAGAATCAGTGCCTTTTACTGAGTCTTTAAAAGCCTTTTCATTGTCTCCATAATACCATCAAGTCGATTGGATTGGATTGTTGGTAACAGAATTGAGTGAGATTGTGAATAACAAGAAAGTTGAGTATGGCAGCTAGTCTGTAGATGGTTCTTCCTTTCCTGTCCTGGGTTCAGAGTTGTCATTCTTTCAGAGAAGAAGCAGGTGACTCAGGCAGCCCAGGGCAAGTGATTCAGAGTCACTCTGCATACAGCCTACATCACTGCCCCACCTGGGTAGTTCCAAAGAAATCTTCTGATTTTGGACACATTCTAGCTATCACCTTGGATCAACTGAACAGTTATCTGGAAAAGTGGGGAGTTTTTCCATGTTTTACCATAATTCAATCTTGTTACTATTTTTTTCACCTTTTCTGTTCCTTCAAAATTGGATGATGAGGTTAGCTTGAATGTTTTGAGTACTAAAGATAAAATCAGTACAGAAGTAGCCTCAGTCATCCCAATGGTCAGCTTAGTTAGATCTGAAATATTGGGAGAGGGCCTGGAAGCTGAACAAGTGAGAAAACTTATGAATATATACAAAGATATGAAAATAAAAATTGCCCCCAAAAAGCCATCTCAAATGCTGTCCTTAGTGCTGGAAACTTGCAGTGTTTTCCTAGTCTTTTGTCTTGTCTTTTATCACTATACTACCCATTACTCAGAGGCAATATGGAACACTTGTTTTTTTCTGTTTATTGGCTTCAATTTTGGAATATAGAAAGATCATTCCTGAGCCCTCCCTGGTGGTGCAGTGGGTTGGAGCACTGCACTGCAAAGCTAAGCCAAGCTGTGACCGCTTAAGTGTGAGTTCGAACCCCACCCTGGAGGTGACCCACATGGCCCAGCAGACCTCTCCTGTCTTGCCCACTGCTCCCCTCTGCACTGTACTCGTCATTCTGCCTGTCTTGCTCCCCACTCTGTTTGTGGTGAATCCTCTTGCCACCCCTGCACCTCTGGCCTCTACCCCATTTCTGTATGCATAAATAAATAAAATATTAACAACAACAAAAAAGATCATTCCTGCTAAAGTAAAAGCAGAAATTGTAGTTTGAGCAGCAATTTACCTCTTGCTCAAAGGAGAAAATTAATGATACCAACTTATGCCAATTAAAAGTGACTGCTTTAGAGTAGGAGAAAATGCCAACAAATAAATGGATTCCCATACACTCTGTTCCTCCAAGTTCTATGAGGGTCAACTTGAAAACCCGGCCTTCTTCAAGCGTCAAGATGATCGTAACAGTGCTGTAAGACTAGTAATAATAATAGCTAACATTTGCTGAGTGTTTACTTTTTGTCATGCTGTCCACTTTGTACTCAATCCTTTCAACAAAACCCTATTAAGTAAATTCTGTTGTTATTCCCTTTTAGCTGATTAGGAAACAGAGGACTATTTATCCCATGGCCCAGGAGTAGGAAGCTACTCAGCCTCCCTCCCTTGCATTCACCTTTCTGCTGCTTAGTGCCCTGGGGGATTTACACTAAATCCCCCTATTTTATGTATATATTTGGCATTCAATATGTACTTACTGAGCAGGGATGATACCATTCTTTTAAGTTAGTCTGAAACAATTCAAAAGAAGAGTTAAGAATTGACAATGGGACAGCCACATTTGCTTCATTTAGTATTAAATTGGGCGGTGACAACCGTATCAACTCCACAGCAGCTAACCCACAATGAAGAGCAAATTTCAGAGCAGGACTATTTCTATCCATGAACTTTGTTGTGGCTGTAATTAGGAAGTCAAGAAAGAAAAATGAGGGGACATTGGACCAAAGGGACCATATACTGAAAAACTGTCCCTATCCTTTCTACCTCCTTAAAAGTCAAGCCTGAGAACTGGCCAGCCAGAGACACCTTGAAGAAGACTTTAAAGCTGACTCCCTTTTCTTAAATAGCTTTAAGTTCATTGTTTTGAGTAAATGTTAAATTGATATATGCATTTTTTTTATCAATTTCAGGAAATACTGCAAATTGGTTAGCTCTTTGCGAGCAATGACCAAACTTCTTTCTAAAACTTGTCTAACTTTGTAACAAGTGACAGTCATGTGTGACATATGGTTTTATTTGTTGAGATATTAATTTGCTGATGGACAACTTATATTGGGCTGTCCATAAGGAAAGGCTGCTGGACAGGGCTCCATAAGGAAAGGCTGCTGTTATTTTTTAACCTCTTTTTAACAAATTCATTGTCAAAATCATTTTGTACCTCAGTGATTGGAGGCAGGCAGATCAGGATGGAAGAGATTATGTTAGGAGACTAATACTAGAGGGCTGGAATTTAGCTAGAGGTGGGGTAAGATTGAACCCTCCCACAATCTGAAGTGCACCCTGAAATATTGGCCATCTTTAGCTCAGAAGAAGAGCCTATATGAAGTTCAACATCCAGTGTAGAATGTAAAGAATTTTCCTGCTTGTTACCCAGAACACACTGCTCTAAAGCATAGGGGTGAAAAGCTTTGCACTGCCCTGTTCTCCAGCTGCCTACTGAGATCTTGTCAGTGCAAAGCAAACCTGTCCTTGACAGACGGATACAGGGCTCATTCCTAATTCCTGGTTCAAGCACATGCAGTCTGTGGAATCTCTATCACTCCCCATTTTCTTTTCTTCCCCTTCTCCTCAGACTTTCCCAAAGAACTAAGTCATATGAGACAGAATTCTTATCACTCTGTGGAGTTAACAGTATCAGTTGTGTTGTCTGCTTTCTGTGAACCCCGCAAAAGCAAGGTCTATAGCTATGTTTATCCTGTTACGTGCATCCAGAATTGAAAAATTGAAATGTAGCTATCTTTGAATGTGTGTTGTTATCTATCTGTTGCTTTGCTTTAGCCGGTCAGCATATTTGCTTTATTCTTTATTATCATTTCAGGGCTTGCTATTTCTCTTCCTATCTAATTAAATGATTCCATTTTGAATAATTGCATTTAAGTGCCAACAGTGTGCTAGGGGCATTTCAAACAATTCGACACAATCTTTCCCTAGCAGACTCCTAATCTAAACAAAATAGAGGGAGAATAGCCCCAGGGGGCCTTACCTTTGTGCAATTCTTAGCAGGTTAAGTCACCTGCAGTGTCCTAAGACCCACAAAAAAACTTCTCTGATTTTGTTACAACTGAACCTAGAAGACTATCTTGGAGACAACCTGGAACTCTTTTCCCAATATGCACAATTATCTACCTACCTATCTACCCACCTAT